CTCCCAAACAGCAACAAAAAGCTGATGTGTGTCCCCACCCGTGATGTAACGAGGGCAGGGAACAACACAACGTCTAATATATTGCTTTGCTCGCCATAATGATAGATAGTGATATATATATTGGGCTTGACAAACAACAATAAATAGACAAGGACAGAATCACAGAGAGCGCTTGCTGAAGACTACAGAAGCTGTCGCGGTCTGTTTTCAAGGGTGATTTATAGTTTCCTGGTCTATGACGTCACCCATGACGTATCGGGCTTCCATTGGACTGATTTTACACGTGCTTCATGACGCAATCACGCAGAGCGTTCCCACCGCGTCTCAAACGCAGCTCGAAGTTCCCTTGAAAGGGAACTGTTAATTGGTTAACAGAAAGTTTCCTTACTATATACGGTAAATAACTGTGATATATATAATGGTACATTTAATTTAATTTTACTGTAAAATACCGTTAAATTTACAGTTTTTGGAAGTGAAAAAGAACAAGTCATTGTATAATTTACAGTGAAAAAATGTAAAATGACATTCCCACAATTCCCTGCGTGACACTTCACATTTGATGTATTTTGTTTTTAATTAACTGTTTCTTCATAATTTTCTTATTTTTTTTCTAATCAGTTATGTACATTAGAGTTTTATGTTACATTTAATGTTGTTAAATTAATGCTTATTGCATTTTTTAAATTTCAACATGTTACCATAATGGTGTTTAATGTTTGTGTGAATGACACTGTGCAGCTTCTGTATATTAGTATTAACTTTCTTGTGAAAGAGATGCTTGTGATGAGCTTTGGTTGACCATTTGACTCTCATTACTGCTGTGATTGTTGGCTCTCGGTGTATTACAATGGAAAAAAACAGATATTAATACTTCAAAAGGTCAGTATATTAACATTATATCAGATAATGAAATACGGTTTATTGCTGTAAAATTATATACGGTTAAAAGTTGTAAAACCTAAAACGTTGCTACCGTATTTTTAACAGGAAAACTCTGGTAACCACAGCTGCCAGGGTTTTCCTGTAAATTTAACGTTTTTTTTTTTTTTTACAGTGTAGCTAATCAATAACTAATGAATTCTGTCATACCTCCTGAAGAACTACTACTAATTATCTACTAATTAAGGTTCAAGAAAGATAACTATGAAGTAACTACTAATAAACAGTCATACACAGTATTTACTACAATAATCCAGTTTTTTTTTTAGCATTGTAGTGGTGGAAGAAGTACACAAAGCAAGTGCTTGAGTAAAAGTACAGATACCCCAATAAAATATTACTCCAGTAAAATTATAATTAGGCCATTTTCAAAATGACCTTAGTAAAAGTACAGAGGTAATTAATTTTTATTATTATACTTAGTTCTTATACATTTTAAACTTATTTTGCACCATTCAAGTTCCGGCAGTATCACAGTAGCCCACATTTACAGTGATTTGGTGATGCAAGAGCATTAGCATTAGCATCCTCTTCAGGAGAGTCTCAGCGCCGCCGATGTGGTGCATTTCTTCTGCGAAATACAGGTTTGTGTACGTTTTATTTAATCCAAAAAAATTAAAACACGAGCCCAGCTCCCGCAAGAGATCCAGCAATCACTACCGTGAACACAAGACTTTTAAAGGTTTAACTTTTGATTTTAAAATGTTTGTTAAACGAGTTTAAATGTAGGCAGTATACATGTTAAAACAAAATATCATCTGAAATAAAGGAAGATATCATGTAGCTTAAACGAGTCATTGTCGTGTATTTTACAAAGGTTTAGATGATTACGTTAGTGTTTTCTTTTTTTACAGTAAGTTTTATTTTAGTCAGAAGTATTTGGTAATTCATTATTAATTACTGATGGGTTCCCTGTATTTTCACTTTAGAATACTGTTCCAAGTTATAAATAATTTGTTGCCTAATTATAAATAAATAGTTGTTGCCTAAAATACATGACTTTATTTTAACATTATATGTATTTGTTAAAATTGCTACTTCTATTAATAACATTAGTGAATAAGAAAGGTCACAACTCAATGTAGTTTTGTATGACTGTTCATTAGTTACTTCTTAGTTATTTTTCTTGAACCTTAATTAGTAGATAATTAGTAGTAGTTCTTCAGGAGGTATGACAGAATTCATTAGTTATTGATTAACTAGCTGTTACTTAACACAATCATAAACTTCACATACTGATTAGTTAACACATCTCCCTTAGTAGTTAACAGCAGTGAAGAGGTAGTTAATGAAGAATTACCTACTAGTTCTTCAATAATTCCCTATTAGTTATGCAGTGAGATACAGTATTCTAAAGTGTTGCCATTTACTCTGTTCGCAATATTTTGCATGATTGTATATTTTGTAGCCTAATGTCCAAACAAATCCAAAACTATTAAATATAATTGTATGTGCCAAAGTATAACAATTAATTAATTAATTTACACTAAAATAAACTATAGATGTCAATTGATGCGTAAACTATTTTACCTGAAATGAGTTGTTGATGAGGACGTCTGATCGCGCTTATGGCGTATCTGTGTGTGTGTGTGTGTGTGTGTGTGGACTGTGAAGAACTGCTAAGGAGGAGCTTGCTTCATATGAGCTTGCTTTATAGTTATACTTTAAAAGAAATACTTATTTTACTTACTTTATAATTTTAAAGATTATGTTGATGCCCTTTCTGATTAAATTTACATATAGATCAAATCTAAAAGATAGCATAAATTATAGCCATTGATTGAGGACAAAAATATCTGTGATTAAAAGCATCAACAGAAGTGTCTCTGTTCGAAACACACAATAATCCTGTAGTTGGGCACTGATTTAGCAATAAATAATGGGAAAAGGTCTTAAATGAACTATACATTTTTGCCATTTTTGTATCAACAAATCTGAAATATTACCCATAAGCAATGACTGTAACATTAATGAGAGGGACACTGCACTACTACGGCATTCATACAAAAAGTTATCATTTCAATGCACAGAAGGAACAGAGGACTTCAATGACAGAGGAGAACAGGAATGGAACAGGGAACAGGTGAGAACTATTAGAAACCAAGACAACTAATAATGAACTAGACCTAGAAATGATGACACACACGTTTCTATCCAGTTTTATGCTATTTATTATCGAAAACTGTTTCCATCCAATTGGCCTTTTACACATAAAATTGTGTGTGCCTCATCCCTAAAATAATGCAGTGTCACATTAGTTTTGTATTGCTAAAAAAACCTCCCCTTAATCCGCTTCGATACATAATTTCGTGTATTTATTATAAATTATATTGTATCTTTCGCATACCAAACATGTGTAAAATGTAGAGTAATGAGACATTGAAATCAACCCGTTTACTGCTTACTATTTTCACAAAGAATATTATTAAATGAGGAGATATGAGAAGACATCAGAAGAGGAGGGTGAAGTGGAGCAGCTTGTCCGACAGGGCTGTGTGTGGTGAAGTCCATGGGTTTGGACACAGGGCAGATCATTTGTCCTGTTTGCACATTTTAGTGTCTATAAAGAAGATTGGTGAAGTGAAATAATTACTCTCCGCATAAAGCAACAATCTGTAACTGTGAGCAGGTGCCAGGTCGTGCTGAAAAATGAAATCTTCATCTCCATAAAGCTTTTCTGCAGATGGAAGCATGAAGTGCTCCAAAATATCCTGATAGCTAGCTGCATTGACCCTGCCCTTGATAAAACACAGTGGACCAACACCAGCAGCTGACATGGCACCCCAGACCATCACTGACTGTGGGTACTTGACACTGGACTTCAGGCATTTTGGCATTTCCTTCTCCCCAGTCTTCCTCCAGACTCTGGCACCTTGATTTCCGAATGGCATGCAAAACTGAGCAACAGTCCAGTGCTGCTTCTCTGTAGCCCAGGTCAGGCGCTTCTGCCACTGTTTCTGGTTCAGAAGTGGCTTGACCTGGGGAATGCGGCACTTGTAGCCCATGTCCTGCACACGCCTGTGCACGGTGGCTCTGGATGTTTCTACTCCAGACTCAGTCCACTGCTTCCGCAGGTCCCCCAAGCTCTGGAATCGGTCCTTCTCCACAATCTTCCTCAGGGTCCGGTCACCTCTTCTCGTTGTGCAGCGTTTTTTGCTACACTTTTTCCTTCCCACAGACTTCCCACTGAGGTGCCTTGATACAGCACTCTGGGAACAGCCTATTTGTTCAGAAATGTCTTTCTCTGTCTTCCCTCTTGCTTGAGGGTGTCAATGATGGCCTTCTGGACAGCAGTCAGGTCGGCAGTCTTACCCATGATTGCGGTTTTGAGTAATGAAACAGGCTGGGAGTTTTTAAAAGCCTCAGGAATCTTTTGCAGGTGTTTAGAGTTAATTAGTTGATTCAGATGATTAGGTTAATAGCTCGTTTAGAGACCCTTTTCATAATATGCTAATTTTTTTAGACAGGAATTGTGGGTTTTCATGAGCTGTATGCCAAAATCATCAGTATTAAAACAATAAAAGACCTGAAATATTTCAGTTGGTGTGCAATGAATCTAAAATATATGAAAGTTTATTTTTTATCATTACATTATGGAAAATAATGAACTTTATCACAATATGCTAATTTTTTTAGAAGGACCTGTATATAAAGCATGAATTCCTCTCAAGCTTTGGCTGGTAGGATCTCCTCACTGTGGTTCAGTATCCCTGGAAAGTAACAGATAAGATATGTCAGTACACAAGACACTCAGACTTATTATCAGGTTTAATTTTACTAACAAGAACCACCCACCATACAAACTATTTTTATTGAAAAAGAGAAAAACAATAAAGCATGTTGTGATTGACTAATATTTCCTATATCTATTTCATGAGAAGCAATGTTAAATGCAGTTTACCAAGAAACATTCTGGTAACTCTATATTTCTTTTTCATTCTGCTAGCTATACCTTTGTTTGTGGCTTATTTATTGGATTTGCATAATTCTCTAAAAACATAGACTTCAACACAAATAACAATTGGTTGTTGGGATAAAACCACCAATAAATAATGTACCTAGTTTAGTGCCACATTGACCAGTGTAGAGTGTGTGTTACAGGAGGCTTTGCAGGCAAATGCTGAGACACAGATGGAGATGATGAACTGAGGAATGGTGAACACCAGCATTACTCCAACGATCCGCAAACTAAAATACTACAAAACATTCAACACAATTTATTGAGAAGCATGCATAGTTTGAGCTACTTATGAGAGTCCCACCAATCAGGATATAGATTTAAGCAATAAGAATAATAAAGCAATTAAGAAAAAATTCTGTCATTATTCCAAACCTATATACAACTTTCTTTCTTCTGTGAACAGGACACATTTTGATGACTGTTTTACACACATTTATAATAAATGGTAACCAAGGCATTCAAGCTTAAAAAAAGAAACGACACAAACCAAAAGATTCCTTCTGAAGTCATAGGTTCCCTATCGATACGGTTCACTTGTAGCCTGACTTCGTCATACTCATATTCTAGTCAGAATGTGAGTCTGATACTGCTTCATAGGGCTTTGATTATGAGGCGTGTCTTAACCGAACCAGGAAAAAAAAATAACTCTGCACTCAATTGGATAGACCTACAACCAATGAGAGCAACGCAGTTAGTCAACTACTTTGCATAGCACAGTTGTCAACTACAGAACTCAAATGCACGCACGCTGGAAGAAGTAAAATAACGAGTGTTGCTTCTTTTACTTGGTCCTCTATGAGTGCGACCAAATGAGAAACCACAACGACCACAGGGTTTTCATTGCGTCCCATCTTCTTAGTTACCATCGGAGCCAGCTGATAAATTAAACTTTTGCCGAATCCCATAGGAAGGACGGCAAACACATCTTTCCGATCAACAAATGCCTTGATTGCAGTTCTATGTTCGTCTTTTAAAATGAATGCGCTGTCGATTTCTTTTACAACGGACGCGATAGCGGAATCTCTACATCTCAGTTCTCCAGCTGCAGTCATCTCTGAGGGAAACCAGTTCAACCCAAGCGCTCTTTGATAACGTGAGGATTACGTCCCTGCAGATCATCTGTCCATCATCGTATAAAGCCCGCCCTGGCAATTTGATTGGCCCGACGATTTCTGAACCGATCATAATTACTCCTCAATGGAGCAAGTCCAGACCGAACTTCCCGATCAAAAAATGTTGTGGGCGGGGTTCGGGCTGGCACCCAGGCTAGTTCACTTGTATTGCGTCACTAGAAAATGGGAAAACTCCTTTGCGCTCCTGCACTCGAAGTCGCTTTTCTATGCCTTCCGAGTCGAGTCCCTGTCTTCCACCTCGCTGCCCCACTGCGGGTATGTCTGTGGTGCCTCTGGTCCCCCTGGTTCGTCTCTGGGAGCCTGGCTAGCGCTTCCCAGCCCATCCAGCTGGTTCCTCCATACCATCAGACTCAGCTATGCGATTCAGTTCGCCCGGCGCCCACCCAAGACCAGGGCGTTCACTTCAACTCTGTGAACAAATGGCCCCTTTCCTGCGTCCGGGGATCGCAGTCCTACTGGCGAAGGACGCAATAGAGCCGGTCCCTCCAGCCGATATAAAGGCCGGCGTCTACAGCCCGTACTTCTTCGTACCCAAGGAAGGCGGTGGGTTACGGCCAATCTTGGACCTGCGAACCTTGAGTCGGGCCTTGCACAGGCTCCCGTTCAAGATGCTAACGCAGAAACGCATTTTCGAATGCATCTGTCCCCAAGATTGTTTTGCAGCAATCGACCTGAAGGACATGTACTTTCATATCTTGATCATCCGCGACACAGGTCGTTCCTGCGCTTTTTTTGTTCGAGGGTCAAGCATATCAGTACAGAGTCCTACCCTTCGGGCTGTCCCTGTCGCTTCGTGTCTCTATGAAGGAGAGACTCTCCCATGAGAGAGCGTGGTGTTCGCACCCTCAACTATCTCGAAGACTGACTGATACTATCTCAGTCTCAGGAGCAGTTGTGCGAACACAGGGACATGGTGCTCAGTCACCTCAGCCATTTGGGACTTCAGATCAACTGGTAAAAGAGCAAACTGCAGAGGATCCCCCGTGCAGAGCATCTCTTTTCTCGGTATGGAGCTGGACTCTGTCAAACAGATGGCGCGCCTCACAGAGGAACGTGTCCGGTCAGTGTTGAACTGCTTGAATACAATCAAGAGCAGAATGTGGCCACTGAAACTTTTTCACAGGCTCCTGGGGTATATGGCATCCACATCAAGAGGGTAACACCGCTGGGTTTGCTTCATAAGAGGCTGCTTCAGCACTGCCCGGAGGAGGCAGGCCCAGCCCTGGCTTTTCTCTGGACCGTTCGTGCTCTGCACCTATACGTGGACAGAAAGCCTCAGCACCTCAGACCAGCTCTTCAGACCCAGCTCTTCGTCTGTTACGGAGGCCAGCAGAAGGGTAAGGCTGTCTCCAAGCAGAGTTTGGCCACTGGATAGTGATGCCATCATCTTGGTGTACCAATCCCAAGACCTGCCGTTCCCCTCAGGTTGCGAGTCCACAGAGACAGAGATGTACAGCTCCGGATAACCCGCGACAGCCACCCTAAATTTCTCCTCCATCATTTCAGTGTAAACGTTCCAAGCAAATGTAAACTTCCGTCAACACAACGCGAAGGCCCGCCTCTCCATTCATTTGATTGGACAGTGGGGGAAAAAACTTAATGACATCAAGTTGATTTTTTTTTCAACTTCAGGCGCTCAGAGCGCTCCTGCAAAAGCATGAGGCGCAGAACGCGGCTAAATCGCACGCAAAACTCTCACTGCCAATAGAAAATGAATTTAAAAAGGCGCCTAAGGAAGAAAAAAGTCATTCTAGCATATGACAGTAAGTATTTTAGAATTTTAAACAAAAAAAAAACGAATTAAAAACAGATGACAACACATTACACATGAATTAAAAATATGACCTGTAATACCTCAGCATATAAACTTGGATCCATCATTGATATTACTGCTAACTGTATGGACATCAGAAGAATGGCGAGTCCTGCAGTTATGGCACTGAACACATTTATTCCAAGAGAGGCTTTGACCTATACAAAGACAGAATGTACTTGTTTCAGACACTGAGGGGGTATACAACTTTTACTCAAACAACAGATCATTAAAAAGGCTTGCAGAAACTCTTCAGTAGGGTGTTACGTCCCAGGGTGTTCAAATGTGATTTGTTGTGAGAGACTGCTTGTGTTCCCTGTGTTGGGCTTTCTGTTTCTTTCCCTCATTCTCTCAGTTACATATCAGTTATTAAGTGGTATGTACACACCACAGAAGGATGAAGTTTATCCTGCGCAGCAACAGACAGAGATCCAGCAATGATGAACTGAGAAAGAAACGGCATTTCACAGTTCATTCTGGAAATTAAAAAAAGAGTGGCAAAAGATGGAAAACATTAAGTGAAACTCACAATGCAAGACCCCCAGTAGGTGATGCCACTATAGACCAGAATAGCAGGGTAATTGTAGTCATTGATGGTGAGGAGAACACCAAGAAAGAAGACCACCACTCCAGTCATTACCTGGACAGTCTAAGGGCAGATATAGGTCAGGTGTTTCATTCATGGCATGACATACATGTGTGAATGAATGCAGTAATCTAGAAGAAATTAAGTACTCAGAAAATTCATAAAACGATGTATTATTATAATTGATGTGGTATTAAGTAAATGCATTACCCCCAATGCCTTTGGTTGCAATTTCAAATATCCTTTAAGAACTGCATTTAGATTTTGTCCTTCGGTCTCCTGTCCATCAACAACAATACCGTTTTCTTGTGTCACCTTTAATCTGACGACTGTACCTCTGTCTGTTGAGATGAGCTCGCCGGTTTCCATTTCAGGAGAAGGTCTGGGTTTCACCTATAATCAGCATGTTCATATCACTCTTGTTCAAGTTCAATAAGAAATGTGAGCCAAGTACTTTGACTATTTAAAGATAACAAAAATATCTGTACTTCTCATAGCTAAATACCTTTTTGACAAAGATGCCTTTGTCCAAACTAATCACAAAACATTTAAAAGCAGTTTTAACTTACACAAAAACAATCACTGGAAGTTTTTTTTCATTTTTGTATCACAAATTGTAAATAAACTGTCTAAAAATCTAAAAAACAAAATAATTGTTAACTGATAAATGGTTTTACCTGAAATGAGATTTGCTGATGTCTCGAAGCTCATTCGATGAATCTGTGTGTGTGGACTCTGAAGAACAGAGAAGGAGGGACTTGCTTTACATATAGACCGGCTGCTTTCCTCTGAAAATACAAAGCGCTTTACATATAAGTGAAACATAAACTACAATAACTTATGATGAAGGTAAAAAATATCTGCGTTTCTCTAGGCTAAATAGTAGAGAATACTTTATTAACAAGAATAACAAGAATTAATGCAAATTCAACCAATTTCGTGCATGAGATGAAATTAAAGTTTGCAGGCAATAGTTTACTGTAAACTGTAAAATATACACTATGTAATCAGTGACAGTGTGTACGCATCTATGTCTAACACACAAATTCTGTGTTTTCAGGAAAGCATGTAAATATTAAATCTAATTAAACATTATAAATGTCAATGGGCCATTCCACCGAATGGGTGACATTTGCTTGCTTGTTGTTATTTTTTATGTTTTTCAACATTGAATCTAATACTACACATATTTAAGTATTCAAAATGTGTATTGGTCAATCTCAGGCAACTTTATTTATTTTTTTACAAGGTTTTAAGCAGAAGATGGGCGCATGTCTCCTCAATCCTGTTACCGAAAATCATGTGCCATTTAAAAAGCAAGTTTAAAAGCATGTCAATTAATTCCTTTGTTTTCCGCACAAGAAAGTGTTTATTTTAAAGAAATTGTTGGTTATATGTTAAAAAAATTGATATTTGTGACAATAAAATCACTATTAAGGCAAGGTGTATTTTAATAAAAAACACAAAGCCATTTTTTCATTTTAAAGAAGGCCGAAGCCTCAAGTTTATACATTTTTTTTAGAATTTAATTTATTAAATAATTGTATAAATTATGGGCCAAATAAAACTGATAAAAATAGTGGTTTAATTTAATTTTTTTAGAAAAAGAAAAAAATAGTAACAGGACTGAAAGGAACAGGATTGAGTTTTTAAGCAAAAAGTTATCAAATACATGGCATATGGCCACATAGCATAGATGCTAATAGCATGAGGACACTGAGCCATTTCTAGTGCCTTACCAAAAGTTAATATTTGTAAAATAAAAAATATTAATCTAAGAGAAAGTTTAGGTAACAGTACCGTATGTTGTGATTGACCTCCTCAGTCATAGTTAAAATTTCATCAAATATACAGAAATTAAAATGAGAGGACTTACTTATGGTCGCCCCATTGCCTTCAGAAGATCCAGATGATGCGACTTCCTGTTGAAAATGTGTCTTGTGGAATATTCCCAGTTTTTCAGAGGGGGGATGTGTTAGGGTAACAGGACTGAATGTAAACCCGGGGACATGACTAAAATGTGTATTTTATCTAAAATATTAGATCAAATGTTTTTTTATTTTTTCATTTTAAAGTAGATTGGATATAAAGTCACACAACAATGCAACAAAAATCTGATTTCTGAAGGATTTTAATCATTATATTTCATGGTAAAGTTTAGAGATAGAGAGTGGGGACATGCAGAAAATGCCATTTTTTTGTGTTCTATGTAGTTTTTATTAATGTTTTTAGTTATATATTTTAAATTTGTAGTTAGCTTAATGTGCATGATATTTTGCTTAATAATAAAATGTATTTTAGAGTTAATTTTCATGCAATTTTATACATATAATGTCCTGGGGACAGAAATGTCACCCTTTCGGTGGAATGGCTCCAATCTGGTCTGTTTTCTAAACCTATAAAAATATTTATAAATGAAATCCAATCAAAATAATTGTTTCCCCAGTTGAAAAGCCCCAGTTACATTCGTAACAGAGCAGACACACTTTTCTCTGTTACGGTTTTCATGTTGGGACCAGCGTGGCATACTGGTTGCTGGTTTAATTTTATCAATAACAGCCAAATGCCATATAAACTATAAACTATTCAATGCACTTTATTACAATAAACAAAAAGGCACAAAGCTCCCAAGGTTCCTCGATCTGAGCTGAGCAGCAGTTCTGAAGCTCAAACCGTGGAGAATGCCATCATCCATATTGAGGTCGTGGGTTTGATGCCCTGGGAATGTGGGAACTGATAGTGTGTGTTGACATAAGTCTCGTTTTGCAGGCACCTACAGAAGACTGCCCTAGTTTCAAACCAGTCATGTTAAAGGCAGTTTATCATGCAGCATCTGTGGTTGATTCATATTTCCTCTTCAATCTGCTAGCTGTACCTTTGATGTTTTGAGTAAAGTGAGTTGAGGCATTAAAACCACTACTCTGTTTACTGAAACATTGGTCAGAATGATAACGACAGATGTAGACGATAAACTCACCACAGACCACAAGCTGTCGAGCACAGGCACAGCTTCTCCTCACTGAACAGAAACCTTATAGTTCTGTTTCCACACATCTCAAACACGTGTGGTCTTCAAGTGAGCGTTACAGATCAAGTACTGAAAAACTAACTTTATTTTGCCTTTTTATAAGTTTCCAAAAAAGTATAGTGTGTGTGTGTGTGTGTGTGTGTGTGTGTGTGTGTGTGTCATTAAAGCTCAATATGATGGCTAAGGCCACACTTAATACATTTGAATGTTTCTAGTTTTCTACTTTTTATTTGTTTCAGGAGAGATTTATATTTCGTTTGCTTTGAGGGCCTGTTTGTTTAAACATTTCTATTGATTTACTTTATTTCTTTAATATTATTTACCTACATATGGTCTCTTTATGTGTGCATTAAAGATGAAGAGCAATAACTCGTTACTACAGTGCATGGTAGTAATTAAATAAAACAACAATTTGACAGAGATATGGGTTTACATTTTATTTCATTTTGTTTTGAATTGTTGTGTGTCTTACCCGTGGTTCTGCCGGGATCCATGACGGCGTGTGTCAGAGGCCTGTTATTAAAAGGCCGTGGCATTTCCTGATTATATCTTTTGCTGGGAATTATGGGAAATGTAGGTTGTGGGTCCATATTTGTCTGCGTCATTTGTTAATTTGAATGTGTTGTGCATAAAGTATACTTTGGTGTGTTAATGGTGAATGTGATTTCATATGTTTATATATTTTATGTATTTTCTGATGTATTGAAGTTTGAATTGATATTGTGTGAGACCCCTGTCATTATAAAATGGTTTGGTCTGATTTATTAAAAGGACTTAATTGTGTCTGAGTTAGTTCAGGTGAGGATCCTAGAAAACATCTGAGACCCAGAACTCAGTATTTTCCTGGTTCCCTTTAGAAAGGGAACTCGCACTGCGTCAGAGCGCTATGGGGAACGCCTCCGCGCGAACCGGTGTCTGAAACGCAATCCTATTGGCCGGCGACAGCCTATGACATCATCACTAGTGCGACCCGGAAGTATATAAGGGGAGCCTGGAGAACATTTCCTCCCAGGGACTGTTTTGTACTGATGGTGAAATGAAGCTTTGTGAAGCAATGAGGCTTTCCCCTCAAGTGTATCGTGAATTGGTTCATTACTCGAAGCTTTTCAACACGGTGCACACTAACCAGGGCTGGACTGGCCATCGGGCATACCGGGCATTTGCCCGGTGGGCCGACGTGCTTTGTGGGCCGATGCATCTCATACTTAAATTTTTTTTTTTTTTTTTTTGTCTGAACGGCCCATAAAACTCGTACATCGGCGGCCCATTGTTTAGTTTTGTTTAATTGGCGGCTCTGGGATCTTTGTGCCGGTGTAATGCATTGGACAAAAAAGTCCACGTAGTTTTTTCTTTTTCTCACAGACCGGCGCATGATGAAACAAGTAAATCAGCAGCCCATTGGTTATTTTCTTGATTGACACTGGGCTGGTCCAATCACATCTTTAAACTCCTCCCCCTTTGAGCTCTGAGTGAGCGAGCAATGTCAGTGTGTATCTGTCAAAATAGTCAGAGCGATGGAGAAGAAACACAAGGAATGTGCAGAGAAATAGCGTGAAAAAAGAAACTTCAAAGGCCCTTCAAGTGTCTGATGAGGATAGTGAGGAGGATAAGGAGAGAGATGAGTGAGTGCAGAGAACTGTGGTAAGCAGAACTAGGCTACTGTCACAACACTTATGGTGTGTTCACACCGAACGCGAATAGAGCGTCAAATACGCGTCTATCGCGTTTAGTTAGAGACGCTTGAACATTCGCTCGAGTTCAAATTTTTCAACTTGAGCGGAAGACATTCGCGGCAAACGCGTCGCCCAATTCGCGTCATTCGCAACGCCCGGCACGAATGATGCGTCTATTCGCGTCTTTGCATTGACTTTGTATGTAATCTACTCGCCCAAATAATTAAATTCGCGTTCGGTGTGAACACACCATTAGGCTATGTAGGAACCCACTACCCAGTTACGCATTATTTACACATCTGCATATTTGACGATTACGCATTTTATTAGAATTGTAATGAGACAATAATGAGTAATGAGTTTGTAAACCATATTTTTCTTCAAAATAAAAGCTCGATGCCGTTTCCGTCAAAATAAAAGATCATGTGCTTCTCTGTATAGAAATTAGTACGAAACTAATTATGAAAGTTGCTTTTATTTTTCAGTGCATTTGTTTTACAACATATGGCTATTACTGCCATGGGATTAATATTATAACTATTATTATGTAGTAGTGTAATGTAGACAGACACTATATCACAACTAAAAGAGTTTTGAGTTTTTCTTTATTCAATTTGCACACTGAATATGGGTTGGAGCTCTTTATTTTTAACTCTCAAAGTGCACCAGATTGATGAATTTAACATTAAAAAGCACAAAATTTTCTTACGGGGGAGCATGCCCCCCAACCCCCCTAGAGGGACAGAGGTGCACTCACCACAGATTTCACAAAAACCTGTGGGAAAAAAACGGTATTGCTATCCCAGCTTATAACTTTCTTTAGGATTCTGTG